ATATATATATATATATATATATATATATATATATATATATATATATATATATGATTTTTATAACAACCAAAGGAAACATAGTTACTTGACTGTGGTATACGATGCCAATATAGATATTCACGCCTCTTTAAACAAAGCAGTGAATGTGTTTCTGGTCTCTTTGTGATTTCCGGATCATCTACGGCACAGCTGAGGAGAAATCTGCAACAACAAATATCTAACTGCGGCTCCAGGGAGAAGATCAACTAAATCTGGTCTAGGGCCAGATGTGAAGCCATCTATGGCGCAATCAAGATGTAATTATATAGCCTTTTGCATATTTATCAGGATGCAGCTAAACATGCATCAAAATCAGTTCTAGGACTGACTTATTGTTGTGGGGCCTCACGTAGGCACACTTAAGTTGAAATAAATTGCTCCCTGTAATAAATCATCTTGTCAACAATTCCCTTACGACGCCTCTTCAATGTGTGTAAAGATAACGAGTTTGAGCATCTGAACCATTACAAGGCACGTGAAACTCCCATCAGAGACTCAGGCTGGGATCTGGTGAAACCTAGAGCTGAGGACATTACATGCTATACTTTAGGAACCAATACATTTTTATGAGAAAAGAACTGCTAAAGCAGTTATTGCCCACTCTCTTTTTTTTCTCTCTCTCAGTTAAATTTCTACATGTATATTCAATACAACCCACCTGTTTCCAAAGAGCCATTTAAAAAGCGCATTTAAGAAGGTTCTCTGTGTCCATTGCTCATCAGCATGAGATAATGTCTTTTCCATAGCAGAGTGTCTTTCCCACACAGTGCCCTACCCTTTCATAACACTGCAGTTATAGTAAAAATAAAGTAGCATGGAAACACCTTTCTCTCTTTTCTCATCCCAGAACAGCTGGGGGATTTGCTCTCTCATAACAGAGATGATTAAGTGAGTTGTTGGAAGAATCCCAGTTCTGAGTGTCTGAACCCCAACACACATGACTGACAGGCCTGGAATAGAGGCGCTGCAGACCTTAAGAAAAGGAAATTATTCATGCAAAGGGACATTTATTGAGTAAATTTATTTTTATTCTCTTTTTATTAAAAGATCTAGTCTTTCTATTTGAGTCTCGAGAGAATTTAACAAAGCTGTGCATCCAGCAAATGACAGACAACCACCAGAGATTTGTTTCCTAAGCTCAAAAAATTATATGTTGCAATTTCTTTTGTCATCATTAACTGCAGATTTAAGTTGCAGTAAATTTAAGTTGCAGAATCAAATTTTTTAGAAAAATCTGCTTTTTCCCATATTTATTAAAACTGTCACCATGTGTGGTCTGAGACAGATAATCTGAAAAATAAATAAATAAGTAAATAAAAATAAAAACTGAGCTCCTTCATCTACTACCAGTGTGTCTATTACAGTCTGAAAACTGCACTGCTCCTGGTCAAAAACAGCCAATCAGAGTCAGGAGGAGGGTCTCAGCGCTGTCAGTCAACCTAATGTATGCTGCTCAATGTGCTAAAGATAGAAAACAACTTACCGTTTCAGGAAAACATTTAATCCATCTTCGTTGGTAACTATGCTAAATTAGCAAACGTTGTGGTGAACACTGGCTTGGTTCAGCTAGCTATAGCTATTTGCTAGCTGTTTAGAAATAGCAAATGGAAGGGGTAAGCATGGGAGTGATTGACAGCGCTAAAACCCTCCTCCTCCTGGCTGTGATTGGTTGCTTCTGACTGGTGTATTTCTGCAGTTGACACGTGGAGCACTGGGAGAAGACAGAGGAGCTCAGTTTTTTCACACATTCTCTGTCTTAAATTATACTGTTGTGACATATAGTGCAGCTTTAACAGTGGTAACATGACAGTTTTTTTTGTTTTGTTTGTTTTTTAATATTTTCCTTCTCTCCTCAGGCAGCTTGTTGTTCTGTTATTTCATATTCTGTCTTTGGCCTGATGTTCATATTAGCCGTTGGCCCACTTCTGCGAAGCCCACAGTGAAGTTATAGAAAACATGTGCGAGGTCTTTGTCTTGCTAAAACCCTGAAAGTTTTGTTCCATTGTGTCACAGCCTCACCTACTGGGATTCTATGTAAACGTACATGTATAGCATAATTTAAAGACGGACACAAAATGCACGAGTTTCATAGCACATAAAAATCTGAAAGGTGCAGTGTGCATTAAGATAGATCTGATCTCAAGACTTTGTAGTAGCACCTTTCGTTGCAGGAACTCTCTACCACATTTGTCCAGACATTTCCATTCTTTGCAAATTATCTCAAGCTCACAAAGTGAGTGGAAAGAGTTTATAGATATACTCTTCAGGTCTGGACTTTGACTGAGACCTTCAAACACATGAACATGTTTGAACCCAAACCATTCCATTCCAGTTCTGGCTGTTTCTTTAGGGGAATTGTCTTTCAGTATGGTGAACCTGTGTCCTGGTCTCTTTTGCCACCATGTATTTAACTCCAGTCATCTTCCAGTCAACTTTGAATTGCTTCAATGTCCCAGCTGAAGAAAAGCATCTCCAGAACATGATGCTGCCACCGCCAGTTTTGGTTTGTGAAGGAATGCCTGGGAATGACTGTGGGAAGTAAAGTATGTATCTTTTTGTTAATTAACTTTTTTATATCTGTTAAAACTATCATGATGTAGTGACAGTAAAAGGCAGATAATCTGTGAAAAGTTCAATTTCCTCCAACTTCTCCTCGAGCTGTTATTGTCATCTGAAGAAATGCACCGCTTTCAATCAAAAACAACCAATCAGAAGAGCCAGAAGGAGGGCCTCAGCGCTGCAAATCATGGCAGTGTACTCGCTCTTAAATGTGCTATTGATGAAGAAACAACTTACTGTTAGAGGAAAACCATTTATTCGCCATTATCGGTGGCTCTGCTAGCTAGCCTGAGCATTCACAAGAGGCTATGCAAGCTCCAGCGTAGCAGAGAGCAAAGGTGGGTTGAGCAGTGCAACATGGAGGGTGATTGACAGTACTAAGCCACGCCTCCTGGCTCTGATTGGTTGTTTTTAATTAACACTGGGAGAAGGTAAAGGAGCTCAATTGTTTCACATTATCAGTGTCATTCCATTCGGTCACAACATGGTGACAGTTTTTAAAAAAAAACAACATTTTATTAAACGTTAACTATGCAGCTTTGACACTGCTTTAAGTTCCCCCACAACTTTATACGAAACACATTAAAGTTTGTGGTAGTGATGTGAAAAAATGTGGAAAACCTCAGGGGGTGTGAATACTTTTGCATGTGCTGTAGTTACCGTCTATCTCAGTTTTTAACACTTTTTATTTCTTCAAAATTTCACTTTTTCCTCCTGGGCTGTGAAGAGTTTGACGGGTAAAGTTTTGATTGACGGGACTAAACCACAAGTTTGCACCTGAACAAAGCGATCTCACTGATTCACTACAGAGCTGATATTAACAGGATATGATCTAATGGAGAAAGAATCAGTTTCTCTGTGCGATGGATCACCTTCCCAACCAGGAAGCAGTCGTCACCAGACAGCGAGACGGACACAGCAGGCGAGCAGACGTCAACCACACCTCCACCGCTGGCCCTCTGGAAGCGGCCCTCTACCAGACTTGAAACTTGGAGGGAGTACACATCCTGGAGCCTCATCAGCCCCTTTGCAGCCCCCCGGAGGTCTTCCACTTTGGGCAAGTGAGCCTCCTCTTCCTTGTATCTGGACCTGAGGTCTGAACAGAGCGATATTGAAGGCTGAAGTTTGCTTGTGACGGCTAAAAAGCGGAAGAAGTTCAGGTATCATTAGGCAGGAGGGAGAGAGATAGAGCTCACTTTGAACGTTTTCTTGAGCTTCATTGCTGTAGACGACGTTCAGCCACTCCGAATGCAGCCGCTTGACGAGCGTGAAGGCCACCAGTGGGTTGGCTGTTGCAGCTGCAGGGCCTTTGTAGAGCTCTGAGTGGAGGTCAGACACTCTGGCATGAAACCTGTGCAAAAGATGAGATCGTGGGTCACAGAAAGGTGAACACATATGGTCCTCATTAGACTGGAAAGACTAGAAATGAAAGATATACTGAACCTGGGTAACACCTGACACCTTCCACAAACACTTCTTACTCTCTAAACCCATTTGATGTCACAATGCAGCTGTAAGCGTCGATGTATCTTGTTAGCATTTTATATAACAGACCAAAAGAATATTACATGATTCTAAAATTGGTTTTATTAAAAAAAAAAAAAAAGATTTTTGAAAGTGTGGCTTGGATTTGTAGTCACCATACCTGACTCCATCACCACTCAGGTGGTCTGGTTCTGGTCTACTTTGAATCCCCACATAGAGAAGCAGCATTCAGCTTCTATGCACTACAAATCTGGAACAAACTTCCAGAAAACTGCAAAGATGCTGAAACACTGAGTTCCTTTAAGTCAAGGCTAAAACCCCACCTGTTTACAGATGCCTTTGATAACTAGTAACTGGAACACTGATCAATATATTTTATGAATATTTGCTTGAATATTTGACAAAGGATATATTGCTTGTTTCATAATTCATTGCTGTGAAATGTTTTCTACGGTGGGAAGCTTTTTGAACAGCCTTGTTTCTGAAATGTGCTAAACACATAAACGTGACTTGACTTTGGATCATTGGCTGGTTCTGGACAGAGAGAGAGGAAAATGTGTGCAGCTATTTTAATACTGGAGAAAACACATGAAGAACACATAAAGTGTAGTTTGTTTGTTTGTTTCCTTTCTCGAGGCCCTTGCATAGTTCTGCGTCAAAGCATGACAATAATGACTTTAATTATGTCACACTTTACAACAAAGCCACTTCTTTTTAGTGGCTAAAAAGAAGAGAAAAACCACAGGACACATAAATGAAACAGTTTTTTAAAAAAAGAAACAAAAGTAGAAATAGAAGTAGTTAAGCCAAGAAATCATTACTGATATAAATTTGTTATAAAAGTATTACTGATTGCACTTTAAAAATTAGGTAACTTTATGTTATTAAAGGTAAAGTTTAAACAGTAATGATTTCTTGGTTAATGTCAAGTTGTCATAACAAAGACATTTTGAATAATGTCAACTTTGTATTAAAAGTGTCAGAATTTACCGAATGTCGCTTTATGACAACAGTCATAAGTATTCATGAAGGCTTATTTATGTTCATGACATGTGTTATGTCATGTTTATGACAATGTCATGTCAGTCTTATTCCCCCCCTTCAAATAAAGTGTTACCTAATTCATAAACCAAAAGGGTGGAGGCGGCTGCGACAGAGAAATAAACAGATTTCTCCTTTTCTATCCTGATGAAAAGTCCTCGACACTGAGTGTGTGTACCCAACCGCAGCTCCGGTTTCGCCATCACTCACCGCTTGATGTCCTCCAGTCTCTGCTGCTCGCTGTCGATATACATTCTCAGATAATCAATCAGTTTCCTCTCAACGTCAATGGCTTGCCTCACGTTTTGGAGCGACGTATACATTTCTCCTTCGGCCTGGAAAGCGAGAGCAGCGACGAGGAAGCAGCAGAGACAGAAAGCAGCCGGAGGAGCCTCCATCCCCTCGAAAAGTGAACTCTGCCGTTATCATGGGATGAGCTGAGCTTCTCACGGCTCCTCATCTGATGACTCGGTTCTGATCTGGGATCGGCTTCTCCCCTCTCTCTGTGAGGAACTTCACCGGAATTAACTTCCAATAGGAGCCCTATTGAAAGTTGTGTTGGGGCAACAATATTTTAAACTCTTTAATTTATTAACCGAGGTTTTAAGCACAATTGTAAAACAAACAAAAAAAACAAAAAATAAAAAACAAAAAAACAAAACAAAACAAAACAAAAAAATCTTCCAAAAGTAAGAGCGCCTTTAACCAGTTTTTTTTTCTCTACAGCGACGTCTGCTGGTCAAACTGTGCCAGTACTACTAAATTTACTAGCATCTGGCAACACCAGGTACTCTGTTACTGATCTGTGGAGGACAACAAATAATCAATACAGCCAGACAGTACAGCAAATACCCACAGTTAGCAGACTATATAGTTGATGTCGTAAAAAAACCCCCACAGAGATCAATTAAAATATGGATTTATTATGCCTTTTCTGTGCAAACACTTTAATAAATAAATTAAACCTCTGACTCATGTAGTGCAGCCGGCACATCACACCTGTTCACCCAGCAAGACAAGTAAATCAAGTTTACTTTAAATTTATTTTTCATTTATTGCCACTTTCTATTTTTATATGTACTGTACAACAATAACACAAAAACATAATATTTCAACAAAGATAACAGACAAAGGAACACTACTCAAGTTTCATATCAAAACAGCGTAGCGGACTATAAGAAATATTGAACTGGGACTCATAGAAAAGTAAGAGGAAAGAACAATATTGATCAAACAGGAACAGAATCCAAGAAGGAACAGAATAAAAGAATGAATAAAGGAATAAATGAAGTAAACTAATGCAAAGGAATGAACGGACATGGTGAGATCAAGCAAAGTAAAGTAATTAAGTGAGGAAATGATCAAAACGGAAAAATAAATGAAATTAAAACACCCACAGATCACAACATATTTACTCAATAAACATATATTGCTTTGTCTTTGACCTATAAAAATGAACGTTGAATTCTTGTCTGTGTGACACAATGTTGAAAGTTAAAATATAATATAGACTTTAAAATATATATATTTTAGCCTGAAATTTTTATTTGGTTTTCTCTAACTGATTTACACAGCTGACAAACAGCTCTGCACCTTCAGCTGTTCAGTTGACCGGCGAAAGGGTGAGAGGATGAACAGTTGTCATGGAGCAATGTAAGCACAGATACGCCTCCGTTGGGTTTATGTTTAACAGACTGCCAAAGTTTCTTATCTTTTTCTGCAGAAACTGTCCGCATGTTTGCATAGGTCAAAGTATGGTTACGGTCAAAGTTTCTGGCTGCAGGGAAGCGAGAGTTTGATCTCTTTTTAATTATTTCTTAGTCCCAATTTAGATTCATTCATTGGTGTTGCAGGGCATTTTATTTGTTGTTGTTAAGATTTAAAATAAAAAATTATGTTTCAGCCAGTTAGCAAAAATGTTTTCTAAATCTGATTGGCCCAGAATGCCATGTAGGTCCAAAGACATGATGGCAGTTAGCACTAGCTTGCGTTGAAAGTTAAAAATATCGGACAATCCATCAAAAACACAGAAAAAATGTGTCTTTTGAGTACTGAAATGAATCTCTGAGATTTCTCAATAATCTTCATCCTGCATGTCTGTGTCTCTCCTCCAAACCTGGCTAATTCACAGGCTGAGTTACCTCCCCAACATGTCACCGAGTTCTACAGAGACTTACTGCAGTTCTATGGTTTTGCACATCGCTTTTATTTTCCTTTGTTTCCTTTATCATCAATCAACTTAAGAGTCACAAAAACTCCATGGAGTAAACATGACAAGTTTGCTTCGTATTAAATGTTAGGAATAGCTCACACAAGTGCGAAATTGGCAAAAGCTGGTTAAAAACTGTTCAGAAAAGTTCATTGGCTTGCATTCTGTTGTATAATATTTTCTATAATGGTTGTGCTTCATTGCTTTCATTATTTCACTATCAAATAAACAATGATTATTACATACAACCCACAGAAGTCTAAGTGCAGTCAAGAATGTGGCCCTTGTGAAACAAAAACCTCTGGGAGTCACATGAAATCAGATATAATTAACAATAGCATTTCATGTTTTTATTGCCGTTTGATTGTTGTTTTAAAACAGACTTGGTTAACAGCAGTCTAACTTTAAGATCTGAACATTGTACAGTACTAAAACAATTTATTTTCAAACTGTCAGTTTATATTTGAGTCACCATTTGAAAAATGTTTTGCCTTTCTTTGACCAGCAGAGAAACCTATTCTCAATGTGCTTTCTCAGACTCTGATCCCTGAAGCCATAAATTAGCGGACTGAGAAAGCGAGGTATGAGGATGAAGCAGAAGAAATTAAAAAAGGCGACATCCTCAGGTGGCCAGTTTGTGTGGAGCACAATTAGAGTTTCAGAGATGGGCTGGGTGAAAGCCAGCAAGCACAGCAGCAGCTGGAAGCCGTGCAGCAGCACGGTGTACATGGCTTTGTTCACTGAAGCTCTGTCCTGCCGCATCTTCCTGGTATCCATCACAATCCTCACATAGGTGAAGAGGATGATAACACTTACCACTGCAAAGGAAAGTACATACACAGCAAGCCGATAAACTCCCTGGATTGGAGACTGGTTGAAAGCTGTAGTTTTGCAAATCATGCTGGTAGAGAGGACATCTACAGGACTGTGGTTCCCAATGAAAAGCTCATTAATGGCGAATATGAAGCTGATGATCCACAGAGGCAGAGTAATGATCCAGATACGGTCTGAGCGCCAGGAGGCCGGGCGCTGCAGAGGGTAGAAAATGGCAACATAACGCTCCAGTGACATGGCAGCCAGAATAAAGGTGGTGTTCTGAAAGGTACAGGAACACACTAAGAGCAGAGGGATACAGAACAGAAGAGGTAACTTGACCCGACCCATCACACAGAGGAAGAGTAGCACAGAGGATAGGATCTGCAGGGTGTCATTGATCAGCATGTGTGCAAACAGGATGTAACGGGATGTGTCCAAAAACTGTCTGTGAGAGGCAAAGATCTGCAGCATGACAACGATGAAGTACAGGAAGACGCAGAACAATGGGATTACCACACACACCTTGATGATCACAGAGAAGCTTTTTGGGGACGTTGCATTGATAGAAACCACAGTCAGATTCTGCATTTTGCTGCTGTGAACAAATAATTCCTGTCAGTGAAAAACACAGACATTCAGTTGGCTTGAACATAATGAAATAACACAGAACACAATTTTCCCCATTGACTAGACTTCACTCCTCTAACAATCCCCTCACCAGTCAGTGGAGCTCAGACGTTTCTACTTTTCACTGTCTTTGAGGAGAAGCATTTAAGGAGGAGTCTCCTCATTAAGTGAATTTCAGGACACATTCCAGTATGTAGACGTGGACCTTAGTCCTCCAGAGAAACACCGCCGTCGCCAAGTGTTGTGATTCCCATTAGTGATGGACTTCACAGGGGAGAAAGACAAACAACAAAGGTTGGCAACTTCTTCTAAAAGTGAAACCTTCCGACCAGTAAAACTATTAAGAAAATTTCTTTTCATTTTCTCTGCAAACATCCTCCTTAGAAAACCCTACACAATACACTGAAAGAAAGTTGATCCAAATTACGTTTTGCTGCAAGTGTTGATAGCCATGAACTTTTCTTATTTTTAAACCCCATCATCCAAAGGTGTGGAAAAGGTGTCATACCTGTTGCCATGTGTTGGTGTGCAACACTCATGGTCACAACCATTTACTAGACGTAAAATATGATGAGCAAGTGATGCAGCTTTTATACTTGATGCGTTGGTTGGCACGATATTCTCTGAAAAGACTGCCCTCATATAAAGGATTTATATAAGTGCCTGAACAGATGACCCTGCTGTGCACCTTCCAAATAGACCATTTAGAGTGAAAGATGGCATGCTTAATCTGCGCCAAGTTATTAAAAAAATGATAATATGCACACCAAGGTGCATAGACTGAGGAAAAGATGTGATATGTACCAAATCAAATCTCTACACTACAGGCACTGCTATGTCACATATGTGAACATTAGGCATACTCAGATGTTGATCATTTTTAATAGAAAAAGTCCATCATCCTCTCTGTACACAGGAAGGCTTCAGTCACTGTGACAGAACTGCTTTGTTTCAGTTGCATTTACAAGACCTTTTCTATGGCCATTGAGATTGAGGCTGCCGTATGTTTTTAGTTGTTTAATGAAAGATCATGTCCGTTTGACAGCTTTAGTGGATAATAATAATGATAAGAGCTGGAGATCAACCCTGGTTTCCCCAGCAACACAGCCTGCAAGTACCCCACTATGAATCGATGTCGCAGCATGTCCAGGTCTTTGGAAAAAGTTAATCATTCCTAAGTCCAAACCAATTACTCCTTCTCCGTCAACCATTTTTGACATAAAAAAAATAGATAAATAAAAAATCACAGGTATTAATTTGGGCAGTGCAGGCTGCCAAGGATGCTGTGCACATTAATACTTGCTTGCTTGCAAAATTTGGGGATGATACGTTCAATCTAACTATCCAGTTAGAGGGCAGAGACCTTCTGATGTCTGTGTGAACCTTCTAGGGACCCCAGTGAATTTAATTTGAACTCTGAAAGAAAAAAATAAAATAAACTGGTGACCTGTCCAGGGTGTGGACAGGTTGCCATTGGCTGACAGGCACCAGGTGAATTGCATAAGGGTAAGAGGATGATCAGTCATCATGGAGCAATGTTAGTGCAGATACACCTCTGTGGGGTTCATGTTTAACAGATGCCGACCTGCAAAAGTTGTTAAGCTTGTCTGCAGAAACTGTGCACATATTTGCATAAATCAAAGTAAAGCAAACTGCCTGATTTCAAGGGTTCAGTCTGTTCTTGTTTGTTTTAGTCTAAAATGATTAAACTTTTTTGAGCTTTATATTAGGTTATGATGAACTACTTAGGTCAGGTGTAGACAGCATCACGGAGAAGCACTGTTGTGTCAGAAAGAATAGGAGTTTCTTAAAGAGACAGAGGCCAATTTCAAGCCATCAGATACGACCATGATGTGAAGTCAAAAATGATGCGCTATATTTGATATGTAGCGTTTTCATAACAACTGAATGTAACATAGTTAGAGGATTTTGTTATAAAATATGTGCCTGAAACCAGGTCCCTCTTTAAGGATAAAAATAATATTCTGTTTCAGTTTGTTTAACAAAATATTTTCTGAATCTGCTTGGCCCAGAATGTGATGTAGGTCTGAAGAGTAGCGCCTGCAGCTGTACGGCTGTACGCGCTGCACTGAGATTTTCCTTAAGAACATAAGAAGGAGAATTTATTGGATTCTTTATTATCTAATCTGTTTGCTATTAACAAAATTGTGGAGAGAGAAAAAAAGATATTTTGTGTCAAAACATCCTGTACGTAGCCCACATCTGTGTAAATCTCTGGGGGTGGGCACCTGTACGTCCTAAAACTAAATGCTATTGGTCAGTTGATGTTTGTTTATTAATTGATTGTGAAAAGTATAGGGTAAGCAGAGAAAAGTTAAAACAAGAAATTAGGAAATATGATGTGGAGACACTAAGAATGATTAAGATATCAGTTAAACATTATAAGATAAACGAAGCAGTTATAAATTTTTAGTTTTATTTTTTTTTAACAAATTAATTATCATGTCACCAAATAAGATCAAGAAAACCATTTTTTACAGTAAATCTATTGAAGTACAGCAGCAGAGTAGGATTAACGCAGAGGTTAATCATTGTTTTAACCTTTAAAAACGTCACACAGTCAATCTGTAGGAAGCCTTCACATAGTCAGTGAGCAGATTTCTTTCAGGTCTGTAGCAAAAGAGGATAAATACTCAGTACTAAAACAATTTATTTTCAAACTGTCAGTTTATATTTGAGTCACTATTTGAAAAAGGGTTTTCCTTTCTTTGAGCAGCAGAGGAACCAGCTTCCAATGTGCTTTCTCAGACTCTGATCCCTGAAGCCATAAATCAGTGGACTGAGAAAGCGAGGTATCAGGATGAAGCAGAAGAAATTTAAGAAGACAATGTCCTCACCCAGCCACTTTGTGTGGAGCCCAATGAGAGTTATAAATATAGGCTGAGTGAAACCCAGCAAGCACAGCAGCAGCTGGAAGCCGTGCAGCAGCACGGTGTGCATGGCTTTGCCCACTGAAGCTCTGTCCTGCCGCATCTTCCTGGTTTCCATCACAATCCTCACATAGGTGAAGAGGATGATAACACTTACCACTGCAAAGAAAAGTACATTCACAAAAAGCCGATACAGTTCATGGACTGGGGATTAATTCATGACAGTATTTTTGCAAAGCATGTTTGTAGAGAGGACATCTACAGATTGACCATCTTTCCCGATGAAATACTCAGTGATGGGGATTATGAAGCTGATGATCCACAGAGGTAGAGTAATGATCCAGACACGGTCTGAGCGCCAGGAGGCCGGGCGCTGAAGAGGGTAGAAAATGGCAACATAACGCTCCAGTGACATGGCAGCCAGGATCAAAGTGGTGTTCAGAAAGGTACCAGTAGACACAAAGAACAGAGGGACACAAAACAGAAGAGGTAACTTGACCTGACCCATCAGAGTGAGAAACGTTAACACAGAACACACAATGTGTATGGTGTCATTGATCAACAAGTGTGCAAACAGAATGTAACGGGAAGTGTCCAAAAACTGTCTGTGAGAGGCAAAGATCTGCAGCATAATGGCGACGAAGCACAGGAAGACACAGAAAAACGGGATTACCACACACACCTTGATGATCACAGAGAAGCTTTTTGGGGAAGTAGCATTGATAGAAACCACGGTCCGATTCTGCATTTTGCTGCTTTGAAGAGATAATTCCTATTTAAGAAAAACATAGTAAGTAAGTAAGTAAACTTTATTTATATAGCGCCTTTCACAGACATGAAAATCACAAAGTGCTTTACAAAAATGGAAACACATCAATAATAAAAGAATATAAAATCAGTGAACAATAAACATCATAAATTTGAGTTTGCACAAAAAGAATGGACGAATACAAAATAGAATCTATTAATGCTCAACATTTTCCCCATTGACCGTATTTCGCTCACCTACCAATCCCTTTATCAGTCAGAGGAGTTCAGACTTTTCTACTTCTCATGGCGTCTTTGTAGAGATGTGTTTCAGGTTGGATCCCCTCCTTAATGCTCAGGTTATGTTCCATTATGTAGACTTGGACTTGGACACACCACCATCGCCAAGTGTTACTATTCCCATTGGTGACAGATTTCAGAGGGGAGAAAGACTAATGGCAGAAGTTCACAAAACGTCTTAAAAAAGTGAAACTTTCCTTCTTATAAAACTAAGAAGAAAACATGATTTAATCTTCCCTGTATTCTGGTTAATAAACATACATAAACTTACATTCTGAAAGGAAATTTACCCAAAATACATTATGCTGCAAATGAAGTTAGCCATAAACTTTATCACATTTCCAACCTCAATAAAGACAACCGGGGTCCCAGAATTGAACCTTGGGGTACCCCACATGTTACTCTGATAAACAGTTACTTATTAAGAGAACGAAGTCCCTATTCTGTAGCTAAAATTCAAACCACTTTAATTACTGTGCCAGACAGTCCGACTCAGCTTTGTGGTCGCATAAGTAATATTTCATGTTCAGCTGTGTCAAATGCTGTGCTGAGGTGTAACAGAAGCGACACTGTGGTTCTTCCGCAGTCTGTATTTATGTGGATGTCACTGAACATTTTGACTAAATTTGACTAGATCTCAGTATTATAATGAGCGGTACTGAAAGCAGGAAAACTAAACTCAAAGATGTCAAAGGATTAATCATTGCTTAGAAGGCAGTTATCTATTGAAACACAGCTGCTTCAATAGTTTTGCTGATGAATGTAAGTTTGGACATTGGCCTGTAATTCTGCAGTAGTGATTTGTCCAAATTGTTCTTTCTGATCAATGATTTGATAATTGCTCTTGATGCAGCCTGGGTTGACAACACCTGATGAGAGGAATGAGTTTACAATTTAATCAGGTCAGATGCAATAAAATCCTAGCTGTGCAGCAGTTAAATAATGATTTTAGGCATTATTTTTGCCTAAAACCATCTCACTACTGACCTTCGGTCAAGCGGTTTTTAGGCAGTTGAATTTTTACATTAGCATCGCTTCCATATTTATACTTTTGCAGTTTTTTGGCCAGTCAGGATAATTTTGTTCGGGTTGTCCAACTGTTTGTGATCCTAAGGTTTTCTCTCCAGTTGTTCGACTAATATTAACTTGGTTAATGCTGTTTTTTTATGTAATTTTTACGAATTTTGCAGGAGCTCTGAAAAGTACGTCTTACACCATATCTTGCTCACCAGCACCCCCAGTTGTAGTTTTTGAAAAGAAAAAATGGCTAGACGAGTCTGAAAAATCGATAAATACAGCGACAAAGTGGATAAGTTGACGATATCGCTTCTTTTGTTCTTATCACAGTCCCACTCATCCCCACACTCAGCTGTGTCTCTTGGCTCCGCCCATTTTGCTGGAATTTTTCAAAATTTGCCAGGGGTGGGGTCTAGCTTTCAGTGGTTGGTTAGTTACACAGTAACAAAAGTTGTGGGGAGGATAACCAGAGGAGGAGCTTAATTAATTTATAATTTATTCTAAGTTTTCATGGCTGATTTGGTGACTTTTAGCCATTTGATCAACATTGATTGGTTGCTTAATATTTTCATGGTGAGCACAGCAATGGTTTTCTTTTAAAGACTCAAGACCTTCACTGACTGGAAGGTCAGCTATGCTTTTAGGAGACAGTTGGAGCTGGCACTGTTTCCATTTCATCGGTGATGAAATGGTGTTTCTGTTTAACAAACACTATCAGATCAGGATTATTGCATAACAGCATGGTCTTGTAAAATGTTCTTTGAAAACTACTTGGTAATATAGGACTTTGGGGCATGAGCCATTCTAGCTGCTGAGTTAGATCAGTGAGATAAAGCATTGTGACCATCTGTTTAGTAGTATTTAGGCCCCTCATTTACTTCAAAAACAACCCTAATCTGTTCAGGCAATAGTGCCCAGGTCTAGTCCTCAAGAGCCTTCATCCTGCAACTTTTAGATGCATCCCTTCTCCAAAACACCTGAATCAAATGAACCGTTCATTACTGGGTCACTGCAGAGCTGAAGGACTCCTGCTCAGTGAAATCAGCTGTTTGGTGTTCCTGTCAAAAGAGGGGCAACAGCGATGCCAGGAATGCCTAACAGAGAACACCACCTTACCCCTGTTTTAAACAACCTTCCCCTGCTTTACTTAACAGAGTGTTAGTTGTAGTATTTACATCAAAAGGCCAGAATTGACCAATGGAGACTTATGTTTCAGCTACGAATCAAAAGCAACTCTAAACTCTTGGCTTTTTAACCTTTATTTAAAGAAACTCACTGTAGGGTTGGGAAATAAATCAATAACAACTTATATTGAGATATGACATCTTTTTATTCCTTTTATTAAAGTTCCATAGCTTTGCACATCACATTTATTTTCATTTGTTTCCCTTAACATCATCAATCAAGATAAACTTGTACTTTACTTAATTGGTAAAAGTTTTACTTATTAAATGTTAGCTGTACCTCACCGGAGTGTGTAAAATTTGTAAAAGTTGATTACAAATTATTCAGAAATGTTCTTTGACTTGGAAAGCAAATATATTTTCTATAATGGTAGTGCTTCATTGATGCTTTAATTATTTTACTATCAAACAAATATATTTTTGACTTGCATCCAACTTAAGTCTAAGTGCACGGTCAAAAATGTGGCTCTTGTATGTTTTTGATACCAATACCTCTGAAAAAACATACAGTATTTGAGTCGTACAAAATCCTCCAGAATTAACAGTAAAACGCATGTTCTTATTATTTAATTATTTCAAAGTAGACTTAGTTATAATTACTCAATGTTAAAACATTTTATTTACAGTATATGTGATTAAAACTTGAGTCACTATTTGAAAACTATTTTTTTCTTTGAGCAGCAGAGGAATCTGTTTTCAATGTGCTTTCTCAGGCTTTGATCCCTGACACCATAAATGAGCAGGCTGAGAAAGCGAGGCAACAGGATGAAGCAGAAGAAATTAAAAAAAGCAACATCCTCAGCCACCCAGTTTGTGTGGAGACCAATGAGAGTTTCAGCAATAGGCTGAGTAAAAGCCAGCAAGCACAGCAGCAGCTGGAAGCCGTGCAGCAGCACGGTGTGCATGGCTTTGCTCACTGAAGCTCTGTCCTGCCGCATCTTCCTGGTTTCCATCACAATCTTCACATAGGTGAAGAGGATGATAACACTTACCACTGCAAAGAAAAGTACATTCATAGCAAGCCGATACAGTCCCTGGATCAGAGTTGGGTTAATAACAACAGGTTTGCAAAGGATGTTTGTAGAAAGGACATCTACACTGGGACTAAGGTCCCCCATGGAAAACTGAATGATGGGGAGTGCAAAGCTGATGATCCACAGAGGCAGAATAATGATCCAGATACGGTCTGAGTGCCAGGAGGCCGGGCGCTGCAGAGGGTGGAAAATGGAAACATAACGCTCCAGTGACATGGCAGCCAGAATCAAAGTGGTGTTCAAAAGGTACCAGTAGACACAAAG